GTTTTTGTGCTGCACCTTTTCTTTTCTAATCCAAAATATTTACTGACGAAATTTTAAAACTATGTGTAACTCAAATAAAAAAAATTGAATATACTTTGCTTCTTAAAATTACTACACTTATAATAAATATATAATATTTTAAATGAACTAACTACCTCAACATCATGTTAATGCAGATGGAAATATTAACTTACTCTTTGGCCATGCACTTAAAAACTATATCAACTCATTACCTTTATTAGTAAACTGTAAACTCAAAAGACAAAGTCAGCTTTATATAAATGAAAATATTAAGGCTAGGCTTATTACTCTAAAATGTGTTGAAGGTGCTATAGAATATCTTAGTTAGAAAACCCTTCAAGGACAAAAAAAATTGACAAACAAAATTGATGATATAATTGAAATTACTGATAAAGGATATGAACGCATAGCCAAATTCAAGCAAAATTTAGCTCAAGATCTAACTGTATAGAGATAGGTTCTTTTTTGTGATTGTAATATTGGTTGTGAAAGGGCTTGTGGCAGGATTGGAGTATGCAAACAAAAATATTCAAACTTAGTTTTGAAAAATAATCTTAACAATGAGTTTGATATGCACAAATGTGCAGTACAGGTTATCACGAAGGTTATGCTTTCCAACATTTAAGATCTCTTCCCAGTGCAACTAATTATCAATAGTGTACATAGAACATCTATTCTTCCAACTCCAGATCCAAAATTCATGAGAATTAATTTAAGTTTTCAAACACGTAATAAAGTAATTGATACACGTTATATAAATCGTAATACAGAAGTGGAAATTGCTATAGAAATATTGGATCTAAATAATAACTCAAATGAAACTTACCTTACACATTTGCACAAAACAAGTAAAGACTTATGTACAGAGCAACAGTTGAAGAGATTGATTGAGCAAGATGATGTTCAATTATGTGATAAAAGTGGTCCATAGAGTATTATAGATTAATTAGTTACTATAGATTTGAAAGAGCAAGGCAAGGTGCTTTATTATCAGTGTGGTGATACCTCTGCTTCAGAAAAT